GGCCTCCCAAAGTGCTGGGATTACAGGCGTGAGCCACCGTGCCCGACTGTTTTTATACTCTATGCATTTTGGGTATTTTTAGTAATGATGAGCTGTGCCTCCTTCACTTGTCTGACCATGTAACCAGCACCATTTTCAGTCTCTGCTGTATGAAGCTAAATATGCCATGCTCACCCGTGCTCTAAGTCATGAAGCTCATCACCAAAGACTACTTGTGAACAGTCACAGCTGGCAAATACATACCTTGAGAAGTGTTTCTTGCTTAGAGCCATTGGTTTATGAATGTTTTCCAGCCCGACTTCCTGATGTTAAATGCCAGTTTTGTGGAGTGCACACATTTGAAGAATGTGGCTTTAAGCTCCTGGCTTAATTAGTTTAAATGGCTCATGTAATGAATCCACTGTGTTCTTTCCTCACTGGAGATGTGAACTGCACTATATTTGGAACTAACACTTGCAATCCTATACGCTGTTGCCTGGGTGTTGAGCTATAATTTTGGTTAATATCACCATTAACTAGATTCAGGAAGTTATATGATGATGAATTTCACAAAGATTCTGGTGAGATGTGACTGGTTTGAAAAAATGGGGGATGAGGGTGCTCTTCTCATAGATACCCAATGTGTGGGGACCTCAGCTTGCTGATGCTGTTGAAATGAGGCCACATGTTCCTCCCACTGGGGCTTGCTTACCTCCTGATGCCTGCCATGCCAGCCTGAGCAACTGTGTTGTCATCCTGACTCCTAGGCTTGCTCCCATTAACTTGGTCTACACCTCACTGCTTTCAACAAATAAAACAAATGTGCCATCCATCCAGAAATGACCCAAGTGTGCACTAAACCCAGGAAAGACCTGAGACAGGAATAATCTAGGTAGCTTTAAATGTCCATATTCTCTGGGATCCACCCTTGGCTATCCCCAGTAAGATGCTGGGCAAAGATTCTCATTGGTATGTGAGCATCATAGAAGCAACAGAAGGCTGGTGAGAAGAGGACCAGCCTTTTCTAGTCATTATCAGATAATACAGTGGCACTGTGCTCCAGCCTCACAAGCTGCTATTTGATGTGACAGGTGTGCATTTTGGCCACTGGTCCAAAGACTTTGGTTATGGAGGAACCTTGTCAGAAAAGCCCCAATACATTAAACCCGAGTGCAGTATTTAAGGCAAGGTTCTGATGGATTTGTTCAATGGCTTTGGGATTCAGATGGCAGACAGTAGTTGCAAAAGCTTTTAGTACAAAAGGAAATGCTTATTATACTAGGCATTGAGGCTACAGTATCAAATAAGGTAGACTTGGTCTCTGCCCTAATGGAGCTTACGATCTAGCAGGGACGAGAGATACTGAATGAGTAATTTTAAGTGTGCCAATTCCGGAGTGGGAAGTTTAGTATGCTATACCAAGCAGTTCAAAGTAGGCTGAAGGTTCAGGAAAGTCTTCCTGGAAGAAATGTTAAACTGAAACCTGAAAGATGCGTAGTTGCCAGCCAGGCAAGGAGGAGGAAAAAGTGTACTTATTAGAAGAAACAGCATGTGCAATGGGCCTGTAGCTACAAAGAAGCAGACCTATTTAAGAAGGCAAAAGAGGGCTGGGTGCGGTGGCTAACGCCTGTGATCCCACCACTTTGGGAGGCCAAGGCAGGTAGATGACCTGAGGTCCTGAGTTTGAGACCAGCCTGGCCAACATGATGAAACCCCATCTCT